AACCGTTCGGATGCAGTGTTCTGACACGTATAAAGCTTCATCGCCTGCGTTTCACTAATCCAATGACCGACCGCCGATTACATCGTATGTTTTCTGCCCTTTTCATAGGATTCCGTATTCGCGGTCGTATGTGTAGTGAATGAGCACAGGCGGTAACACAGGAGAATGTAATACCTAAAATCTTAGAATTGTGCATTGAATGTTTAATATCTCCAATCTGTATTCCTTCGTCTAGCTCATGAATATGGTGGTTKTCGATTTATAGATGGAGAGTCAATCCCACTACAACCGGTTCTACGTTACTTTCCGTATTAAATTCAAATATTATTTGATAGTTTGACAGCATTAAAAATTACAAGCGTCATATACGGACGCAATCCCCAAGACAATTGAGACTCTGTTGCTAGTCCTTGGCGATACTTACCCGATTTTCTACGTGTATGAAATAAATTATCCGACAATCAAAGAGTTTTGCTAAACTCGATTGTAATGTACAGGTTCTATGCTAGCTTTTGACAAAACTCACTTCTTCGCTGAATTAGTGGTGGAAACATTTATATGGATTTTCCAGGATTATAACTTAAACTGAAATTTTCTCTGTACAATGATATCGATGATACTTTCTATCTAACAAAAAAAAAAAAAAAATTAAAACAACGATTTATTTTAAATTTTGAATTTTCTTTTCTTTTATTTTTCTTCAAATCCATCTTATTTCTTTCCTTTTGGTAATTTACATTTACAATTGTTGTTGTTTAAAATTAAACTAACTAATGATAACTAAATCACATATAATAATATTAATTATACATTTTTGTTCCGTTATTTAAATTAACAACAAACCAAAGGCTAACATTTCTCAGAAGTCTGTTTTGTTTACGAAAGTAATAAGTGAAAATTGCAACCAAAATGAAACAGAAAGTATTATTATTTTCTTTTTTATTAAAGTAAAACGTTAATATTAAAAGAATAAAAAATGTGAAAAAATCCCTGCAATTTCGTTTAACTATAGCTAAGTTGTAAGTATGTGTATGGGGTGGATGAGCCAAAACGATATTAGGTTTATGCCAAATCTCAACTATTGCGATTTGTGGTTTTACATACATACTTGTCTGTATACATATATATATATATATTTTATGTAAAAAATTGTAAGTGCTATGTAACAATTACATATATATATATTCCTGTTAATATATATATTCAAAAGTAAATGTTTTTTCCTTATTCTTAATAGCTGTTAAAAAAATTGAGCTCACGAGTTTTGGCTGATATGCTGGATATTCAAAATTTTTTCGTATATAATTCAAAAAGTATCGCGAAATTTCGGACTATTTGCTTCTAGTCAAAGAAATTTTATTATATTAAAATATAGCAGTTTAAGCATTAATCCCCAAAGAGTGATATTTTAGAATTATAATCGTTAGGAAAATTAATGCTTGTGCACAAATTAWACCCGCATATCTCTCGCATTGCGTTCTATTCAATTCCTGCTCAATTTCCATTTAACGCGTACATCAGTTCTTTATATCACTAACTGTTGTTTATTACAAAAATTATTTACTGTTTTTTTTTTTTTAATTTTTTTTAGATGTTAACGGCACTTGCATGTCAATAAAATGTTGAAAACAGTAGTCTTCAGTAAAAAAAAAAGCTTCACACTCTATTACTTTGTATAAAAATGTTTAAATACATATTTTACAGTTATTTTCATATTTCAAGTATGTATGTGTGTAATAACTACCATTGTAACAATTATATTTTTAATGATTATATAAATCCCTGGCTATTGCATATTTGGTCTATTGTAGTGGGGTTTATTTGAGGGGTGAATGGGTAAAAAATTGTATGGGGTTAAGGGTAGGGCTAGTTATGTTGGGTAGGATAAGTAAGGTTCGGGTCATTTATGTTATTTGTGTATATATAGTTTCTATATTTGTAAAAAAAATATTTTGATAAAAAATTGTACTATTGCAGTGTATGGAGGATACTAGGGGGAGTTATGCATTGAGATGCGTGCTGGGATATATTTATGTATTTCTATAGGAGTTTATGGGAATTTGCTGTTGTATTGTATTGTTAAGATTTTCAAATACTTCAAGTAATTGTTGTACATAAAAAATTTCGTGACGGCGAAAACATAACAAGTATTTAGTAAATTTTGAATCCAACTGTGTGAGACTTGCAAATTTCTTTTACTTTATGAAACTAAAATGAATCAAGTGCAAAAGTTCAGGCGATATTCAACACGAAGCGAAATTCTGTTAATTAAAAAAAAAAAAAATAATGTTAACAATGACATTTTGATAATTCATCAAACTAATAATTTTTAACTTATTGCTATGTATAAATCATATTTAAAAGCAATCGATGCAACTGGCAACAACGTTAGTACTTTCGCCTTAATTCATTTCAGCCTTAAAACATTTGAAATTCTCATGTTTCAAGTGATTTTAATTACTTTAAATATTCCAAAAAAAAATTAGTGGAATCTCGTTGGTCTATATTTACGAGATTGAACTGAGAAGAGTGAATTTGCTGCTTCAGAAGTTTTAAGATAATTTTCCAAGAAAAATTTGAATATCAACTCACAATAAATTTTTAAGTATGAGCAAAAAATTAATATGCATGTCTAATTTGGAATTATGATTCTCTATAACACGTAAAGCATAAATACTGCCAATATTGGCACTTGCTTCAAATGATGCAGCTCCTGGGCAGCTGTTCAACTCTTCGCAGTCATGTCWCATCTATAATAGATTACTTATTAACTATGAGGAAACTTAAACAGGACAATACAAAAAAAGTTTAATATTTTAAATATTAATGAGGTATGTGTGGTGGAAATTTTGAAAATTGAATTTTGTAAACCGGTCTATTGCATAAAATTGCAGGATTGTCTTGTGCATGCTGCTGTAGATGTGATTGCTGAGCACTACAGCAGACGCACTACTAAAAAATATAGTAATAATAAAAACATTAGTACAAGAGAGTACGTCGATATATCGCCAGTGTATATAGACTTGTGTGGGTAGACGCGTTAGTTCGCGCTTTGACAACGAGCTATGCCACAAAGTCCAGCGGCCGATTGAAGCCACCTTTGCGATTCATATATTGACGATACTTGCGCTTTAAGATAACATGCACTTCACCAACATCGTTCCCTTCAACCTTCTTATTCTTGGTCGTATCGAAAGTGCAGAAACCCATTGTTTTCAGCATTTCTACTTCTTCGGGTGATTTACCCTCCAAATCGGCTTCTGTGATTTTGGGACGATCAACGGCAGCTCCGCGTCGCCCAGACGACGTAGATGCCGAAGTAGAGGGGTGTCCGCGAGAACGTGATCTAAATACAGTAAGGTGATGTTTAGTTAATTTTATAAACCTATAACGAACTAAATATAAATAAATTAACAACTAAGGCACTTATATTTTGATTACCCCATTTGCATATTCAAAGTCCAATATGGACTGACCATTGTTTCAGCATTTTCTTAGAAAAAAACTTGAAATTAATATTATGTACTAACTATAAATTTATTTCGTATATTTTAGTATTACAAAAARTGTTATAATCAATATTATTTCGGATAAGCTTCATAGAAGATTTAAGACATCCCTTCAATAAGTGCAGCACGCTCCTTCGCTCGTCCTAATGTGGCGGGACCCGATTGRTTCAATTTGAACGCGCGTTCGATAACGAACATTTCGGTGGCAGTTGAACTCATACCCACAAATGATATCCAATCATTTACAACCATGCCGGCTGCCAGCACATCACTGCCACGATTTACTGTGCCTGCCACCAATGGCACTTGCAAGAGTGATGATAATTCATCTTGATCTTGTATACTGGTTTTTGGATGTACCATACCACCCAAATTGCTGAGCACGGCATATGAACCTACGAGCGGGGTTTCGGCTATTGTTTGCCTGAACACTTCCACCTTCAATACATCACCGATAATTTCTTCAGTTTCTTTGTCAAGGTCGGGATGCACCAGAGCAACATAGTCATTGCAGGCGATTACATTTCCCAATGCTGAAAGACGTTCTTCCACRCGCTGTATTTTCACCGAATCGGGTAATGTGTTACGCAGATGTTGTAGTTCTACATCTGTGGTAGAATGTGGCACAAGTAATCCATTACGATTACCTACTGTGAGGCGACCAATAATACGGCAGCCGCCAATGCTAGCATGCACAACAGGAATGGTCTCTGCCAATTCACTTTCGTACACACTGTAAAAAGCCTCAGAGCCACCAACAGCTACTAGGCAATATGCGTTTGTTAGTTTGCTAAAAACACCGATGTCATCGTTGTTCTCAAATTGTACTCGTAATGCCATTTTATTATCTATTCAATTTCACTCTTTTTCACTCCACCTGTTACTTTACGGATTTAGTGTTGACTCAGTAATAATGCAGTTTACCAATGGTAAATGATTTTATAAACTGTATAATTAAATTTTGTGATGAAATCCTTGGATATCTTTCGTGAAAATTTCGTGAAGTATTTCACTTCACGTGGTAATGTCAAAGAATTATGTTGAAATGTCAAAATTGACATAAAATGCGGTACGAAAAAAGCGAGGGAAATGTTAACCATAGAGTTGCATTTGGGTGAACATTCGATAAATATTTACTATTTCACCAAAAACCATTCAATATCGTGAATAAATTTTAAAACTACACTTATATTATTATAAATAAGGCAGATAGAAAAATTTTATACTTAGTTCTGTGAAGTTTCTGTCTTGGGTTAATACACTACACTTCATTATTCACCTAGAACGGCGACGACTTGCTCTGTCTCGCTCCCGACTGCGGCTGCGGGTCCGGTCTCGTTCCCCTCCACCACCACCTCCTCTGTCATGTGAACGTCTACGCAAAGCACGACTACCGCCAGCGCCTGTTTCACGTTCCCGCTGCCTTTCACGTTCTCTGGAGCGACGTTCACGACGCTTTTTACGTTCAGAACGTTCTTTTTCACGTCGCCGATGCGATGGAGATGGACTGCGTCCCATTTCAGTTTAAGTAGGTATGTAAAGAATAAGGAGGTAGTTGTAACACTACTTTGGCGCTTTCCACTCGTGTTTGCTGACGCCGGTAGTGAAAACGTTTGCTATTGTTTTCCGTAAGAAATCGCTTTCTTGAGAATGCCTGCCAAGACAAATCAATTGATAATGTTGTATTTTACTACTAGCAAAATTTAATTATTCATTATAAAAGATCTTACCGTATATAATGCTGTGTCCTACTATATAATTTTGACACCGGCATTAATAATTTTAAACTTAAAAACTAAAATAAAAACTATACACCAAGCGCGGCGTCTCGTACTCTTTTAATTACTGCTTCTTCATATCGACATAACGGCCTTGCCGTTCACAATGGTACAGAAGTAGGGTGGCAAAGCTGTTAGAATACTATTAATGCTGAAGAAGTAACAATTTCTAAAAACATTGAGATAGTTCTCTTAAAAATTGTTTTATTATATAGAAGTAACGTTTAATAAATTTTATATATGTAAATTTGCTTTCTATTTAATTATTTTGGGACTTTAATAACGAGAACATTTTAACATAAAATAACAGCGGGTATACATTGAAATCATATGTCATTCATAGAGGTATATATAAATATGAATGACTGGTAAAGGTTCAGGAGAGAGGCTTTTCCGAAAGCGTACAAAAATTTTCACGGGAATTGTCTTAAAATTCATGTTTTTAATTCCAATATATATATGGCGTTTTATCAATTTTTATGTTTTTTTGCAATAAAAATAATAAGAAATATTACGATTTTTCACGATATATTATATTTACATCACTGTTCGAAATTCAATTGGGGACTAGTGATATAAGCAGTGATCGGTTTCGAAATGTGGATACTCTCGATATTCGAGACTGGAAGAGAATTGATCAAAATGATAGATAATAGAAAAATAATAATAATTGGAAAAATAAAAAGAAATTTATATATCGATAATCTCAATATTCGAGTCTGWACGASAATTGGTAAAAAKGAGAAATACATAATAAGAAAATAATAATAATTGGAACAATAAAAACAATTAAAATATTGGTATTCTCAATATTCGAAAATTGGTAAAAATGGGAAATCGAGCGCTCGCAAAAAATAACCCTGGTCGGKCCAAAACCCCGGTGTTCATAACTTCTTCTTCTTTCTGCAATAATAATTAATTATAAATGTTCTTATTATATATTTCTCATTTTTACCAATTCTCGCTCAGTCTCGAATATCGAGAGTATCAATAATTCGAAAACGATTAGTGCATGAATCAATCAATAGTGGCCATTCSAATTTACAACAGCGATGTCATAATTTCGGACATAACCTTGCCATTTTCGTTGCAGTGAAGTGATTGYAAGGGTTTTTATATTTTTATAAAAATAACATAAAAATCAATTTCCTTTTTGATAAAATAAACAACATCAATAATTACGTGTATATAATTGATAGAAAATATATTTTTAACATCTATAGACGTATTAAGTGTAAAAGTGAATTTTTAATATCGGGAAATGCGATGTTTTTGTTTTAAAACAAAGTAAATATAAACCACTTGATAGCACAGAAAATTAGCTCTATTAGATGCCAATTTAGGAAAGAACTCCGTTCATCTTAAAAATTTAAAGCTTTGCATTCGCGGAAAAAATCTGGCAATATACTGTAATAGCAACTCTGAAATATTAAATAACCCAATATTTCTCCAGCCAACGTCAATATGACATCATTCTCAATAAATTTCTTATATGAATGAACAAATGTCAATTTGATAATAGTGCGTATTCAYTCTTGCATGGGAGTTATTGGCACCGGAAAACCGACGCGAATGCAATTGGAAAATTGAGCCATAGGTAATTTTAGGCAAATCAGAAYAGAATAGAAGCAAAAGCGGAATCGAACGAACGTCGACTCGAGTGTTTGCGCTGGAGTAGCTCAAAGAAAACGAACGTGGAAAATTGTTGTAAGGCTTTAATTAATCGGTTTTAAATATTTTGGGGAAAACTAGTAAATATAAAAGACAAATGAATAGTGTGTCTAAACTTAAGACGGTGTCTAACTAATTAATGAAAAAATGTATTGTGTGGATTAATGAGTAAAACTGTGATAAATATTACGCGGCGATTGAAAGTGAAAATTCTGTGCAAAAGACTGGCCAGACACAGGCATTGAAAATCGATGAGAATCGACATTTGACACTACATATGTGTATTTTATTTTTTCTATCAATATATTTTGCTGTTTTTGTTGTGAACTGTGTTATAAACCGGCAAACGCCCACTCGTTTTTTGCTAGCAGGATTTATTTTTAATATCAGTAGTGGCTAAAAGGTCGGGAATGACATAATCGTGCAAATAGTGATATACATATTTATATAGAAACATTTTTTTTATTTAAAATGTCAGATTGTATTTCTTTCCAAGTGATTTATTTTAATCCAACTATGCTAGTAATGCAATCCCTCTAAATAGCCCTAGGCTACATGAAATAATCCTTAATTGCAGACAACTGTCTCAGAAGGGCGTATGCTTTGGCTTAATTTTTTTGTTGCTTATAAATTACCCTATTTGAAACAGTAAAAGGGAAATTTATGGTAATAACATCACGGAAAAGTGGTTTTAGCTTCGCGTGCTATGGCTGATGGCGTCCAATAGAGTTGCCGTTTATTATATCTACTAAAGTAACGCAATTAATATTCGTTTAAATGTAAATGGTTTGCCATTTAGCTRATGAACGCATATTCAATACGAATGTAAACCTGTATCGAAATATTTATCGTTACCATTTAAAATTTTTTCCCAACTTTTTTGGTATCGAAACATATATCCTGCTTCTTATTTGATTTCCACATTTAATWTTTTTGCTTTCCTTTTCTGTCATTSCATTTTATTCACGAATTCACTTTTGTCTCATTTTCCAATTTGAAAAATTCCCTCTATTCCCCATTTCATTTGAGTGGATTCGCTCGCAAAGCCAATTTGAGTATCGTTTTGTCGACGTTCGGATTGTCAGACGTAGCCGTTTCGTTCTAGTTGCTCTATTCGTTTTAGAGTGCGTGTTGCGACATAGCGGTATTGTATTTGCTTCCTTGCTGGCGCTAAACGCTCAATTAGATATAATTGTCGAAAGAAAAATTAAGTAAAGAGAAAAAAAGGCCGGCTCGTGGCAAAGTCCGAAATTTATTTTAAAATATATATTTCTTAGCATCGTCTGATAATAAAAAGGCAGTCTATAATAAAATGCAACTATAGTTCCGCGCAAATATTTCAAAAAAAAAATAATATCAATTAGAGCGGACGACAACAGCGGTAGCTAATGCGACAGAAAAAGTGAAAATTTGGATGTGTTTTTAGTGTATGTGTGAAAATTTCAAGTTGAAAAAATTTCAATAGGAAAGTATTAAAAAAAAACATTTTTTATTTTCTGGCAAAGATCGGGTTGAATTTGAGAGCAGAACGAAAAGAAAATTATTTTATAAGGTTAAGAAGAGGACTGCAAAAGCAGCCAGCGCACGCACTTGTGACAAGAGAAAAAGGTTTAAAAGAGAAGGCAATCGCGTATAAAATCACGCAATAAAAGGTAAGTGAAAATTGTGAGTAAAGATAAATGAAAATATGAGTTAACGAATAAAATGTTTTGGCATCAGAAATACATATTACCATACCAAAACGTTACAATTTATATTGACTTAATGTTTGGCAAAATTAAAATCCGAAGTGCCTGCATAATTTTGTAAAAATTTTTGTTGTAAGCATGTTACTAACGCTATTTAAAGTAGTATCACACTATTAAATTATGTATAATAAAAATTTGCTAATGTATAATGACGTCATGTTTTTTTAAATTTGCTATGCGCCACCCTACTCATAGGCACAATTTTTAGTAATGCCATACCRCAGCAAAAATTGCGGCTGCGCTGCCTTATTGTTATTATATTTGCTTTCAGCTTCATACTATWATTCGTTCGTGCTCGCATGTGCTCTATTGCCCACTATTTACCGAAAAGCTCCTCTCATTTCGTGGTTAATGTTGTTGTTATTTAACATGTTTGCTACCGTTCCGTTTGTTTATTGTTAGTGTAAATGAGTTGTGTTTGTGTTTGCCGCAACAAAAATACACGTACGAATGTCATCATCGATTCTTATTTACTTCCACTGATTCGTATTTTTGGGTTCGGTCTGATTTATAATTCATATAATGACGTCAAATGCAAGTTTAAACTCGGTAAGTTAGTTTTAACATAAAACTGCTTGAAAAATGTTGCTAAAACAATTTTCTTTGACGTTGGAAAGAGGACGTTCTTCTGATTAAAAAATATATGGGGTTATAGGTACCGCAAACGCTTAATTTAGGAGATATTCGTCTTTAAAGTTCAAAAATCCCCAGAAGCTATTTCATCTCATTTAACACACTTTATTCACATTTATTTTATATAAACTTTTAAATAAATCCACATTTTACACTTTTGGCAAGTTTTTTACCCAAGAAATCTTTATTTTAAWTATTTGTGTGCTCAAAATTACGACGAAATGGCAGCGCTCCATAATAATGTGATAATAAGGAAATTCGCTGAAATTTCTTTTTTCACAAAAATTCCTCTCTCCATGCATATCAATATGTTTTTTTATTTAATTTAATAAACAAGTAAGTAATATTTAATAGTAGTATAATATAATACTCTTATACACATCT